CTGCAGCAGCAACAGCAGTTCCAGTGTTGCATAAGCTCCACACTCACAGCTACATCCTCTCCCAGGTCAGAGGAAGGCAGATGGAATGATCCCGTGGACAGAAAGGCCTTCCTGACTAGCAGAGATTCCTAGAAAGATGCATTTCCAAAATTCACCACCCTCCAAGACTCCAGCTGGACCCGGCGCTGGTGCTGGCCAGCCAACCACACAGAGTAAACGTGGGGTGGGATTTTCACAAGTCCTCAACAGTGACAGAACTGTCCTCACCGAGCAAACCCCACAGAGTAACTCCTCAAGTGCCAACACCTCATCAGTCTTAGTGTAAGCAAGAGGAAACTTGGATTTTTCCTTAATAAAGGAACACTCAGACCCAGGGCTGGTCCTAGCAAAGCTGGCACTTGATTCAGCATTACCCTCTTCACATTCAACAGCAAAGCTCTGGATGTTCTGAGGACTTCACACAATTAACTGAGCTTAAAACCAGGCTCCAATCATTCATCACTTTGGCTGGGCTTTTTTTAAGAGGTCACCATGTAAGAAATACTATACAAGGTTCACTCATTTCTCTGCCCACCTTGAGAAGAACACACAGCCACCACTTCAGCAGCTTCTGTCCACTTAAAAGTGTGCACAGACAGGTATTTTTTAATTTGAGTTGAGCTTGTGCAAACAGTCTCCACATACACTGATAATTTCTGATGATCCAAGCTGAAGCATTTCCCTAAGAATCCTGCACTACACTTAAGCAAGTGCTGTAATTTGTGAGGGCCTCTTCTATGTCCCTTTCTGAATAAAAGCAGTGAAAAAGCAGGGCAGGAAGGGGCTGGGTGACCCTGGATAGGATTGCACCACACAGCACCTGCTGGAGTGTGGGGTTTGAAGGCTTCAGCTGCCCAACATCCCTATCCACACAACTATGGCAGTATGCCACAGGGTTTGGGGTTTGCTGGGTTGTGAGGAACAGTAAACGACCTAGCCATGTCTAAGCCCAGAAGAGGAAATGCAGAAACACATTTGCAGCAATCACCACCTTGCTTTCTCCATCTGGACAGGTCAAAACCCTTCATCCTTGCTAAGTGCAGAAAGAGCAATCTTCCTGGGATCAAACACATCCTGTAACAAGCAAGGAACTGAAACTCAGATGAGTCCCCAGCCAGCAGGGATGCTGGAGTGCTGTCTATGCAAACAGACTTCTGGGATGAATTCAGAGCAAAACTGGCACTAATCTTGTCCAAAACCCAACATCATACCAGACTCCAGAAGCAAAATGAGTCTGTCGGGCTCTAAACGCTGCTAAGTAACATGGTTTACTTCAGAACAAAGAAATACTTTCCCACCAATAAAATGCATTGCTAGTTGGTCTCCTAGTTTCTGCTAAACCCTCCCAGTGCTTGTGTGCAAGACAAACTTGTTACAAAACCTCTAACAAACTTCATTTTTAAAATGAGACCAAGTCTTCTAAACAAATGGCATTTCCAGCTCAGGCTCTATTTTTAAACACGGTATGAACTTCATGCCACTAATTCACTTGTTTTTTTCCTGGAAGCTGAGCCATTTTGAGTCAAGTCCCATAATTTAAAATTTCATTAAAAATGCAAAGAGCTTTAGGACTGCAAATAGCATAAAGCAGTAAGAGATTCTAAGCAGCTTCCTCCCGCAATTTCAGCGTTCCCTGCCTTTCATTCCATGAGACAAACGACGTGTGAGACGTGTAAATTGCACCCAACATCTCATCTCGCCTGAATGTTGCTGCAGTTTGTACCACTATGTAGGTCACGAGCTCCACATGCTTCAGTCAAGCCCTGGGCTCAGCCTAGCTGCCCATTTTCACCCCTATCAGAAGGCCTGGGGACACGAGACAAAGTTTAACCCGAGCTAGGACGGGCAAAAGAAGCAGTTAACACGATTTTTTTCCCACTTGCTAAACTCAGTTACACACAGAGCTCTTAAGGCACAGGCAATCTACACACTGCTGCATGGAATTGTTTTCTCTCTGCTGTTCCCTGCACTAATTGGGACATTACCAAGCTGCACAATTTCAGAAATTACCCACAGAGTGCCTCAGAAAACATTCTGGTGCTTGCAGCATCAGGAAATGCAACCATCAGAGATGAAAGAAGTGAATCCAAACTTTCCTTCTCACCCATGTGCACCAGAAAGTATCAAGTACCACAGAAATTAATTAGAAATCCAAATAAACCAGAAAGAAATATCTGAAGTATTAAACAGCTGATTTCATCTCTACCTTTAAAACCCTTTCTTCTAAGTTCATAATATTTTTTTCCAAGATGTGCATAAAGACTGCTCAGAGAGAACATCTGATTAGATGAAAAGCAGTAGCAGTGTGGTTTTTAAAGACACACAGGCCCATTTTCATACTCTGCACAGATTTTGGGAAGATGCTATCTCCCTTTGCTGAAATCCCACACTACACACACAAGGATTCTTAACCAACTCCTCAGGAACTGAGAGTTCCAAGCACAATGTCCTGTAATGCACATACAACAAGATCACTTTTAAAAGGATCTGACACAGCCCAGACAAGGATTCTGGCACTCCAGCACCTCACCCAGCCTGCCTTCAGCACCCAGGAGTTCCTGCAAGGCCTTTGGATAATATACATACCCAAAAGTCTCTGGCCACAGGGGACACCAAGACAGAAAGCTTCCCTCAGAGAAGGCTAGGAGAAAGGGCAGAGCACAGAACACAAGCACCCCACCTGCATTCACTACAATTCCTTTCACTCTCGAGCTCCCAAAGCCCAGGAGATCACCAGCTGCTGAGGGTTCTGGAGCTACAGGAGGAAGCCAGAACTCCATTTCCCATATCCCAGCCAAGTGTCCAAATCATTGGGCTGCCCAACTCCTGGCTGCCTCTCCCTTTTAGCTGGACAGAGGCGGCTATCCTGAACTAACCAGGCATCTCTAACAGCTGGTCCTCCTGCCATGCCTTGCTGAACAGCACACTTGGCCTTCATATTTTCTCTTTTTTCCCCTTAATACCACATGGTTGGAGAGATAAATCCATGGCCATGTGTGTAAGGAATAAATAGGTTATTTCCCAGCTACCAGGAACGGTGAGCAACATTTCCATCGGAGCTCTGCAAAAAGAAGCCCGCACAAAGTGATTAAAAAAATTCAACTTTCGCTTCTGCGGCAACATCAGTCTTCAAGCAAAGCCATGGCACTGCACAGGCAGAAGTCTTCATTCATTACTTATCTGTTCAAAATGTGCAGCTACAAAAAAATCCACCTCTTCCTATGATATTTTTTTCTATCATTAAAGAAACCATACCATCTTTTCCATAAATTTCATGGCAGAACTGCAGCCAGCTGCTCCTTTTAGAAATGCCAGCATAAGCCCAGTGTAATGGCCTGGTTCTTTAACACAAAATTATAAGGATAAAAATAAAAAATAAGCAATCAGTTCCATCTGACACATCATTAGGAAATCTCGAGCAAGGAAGTCGAGGTTCAACATTCACTAATTTCGTTGCTGGGAGCATATGACCAGTTAAAAAGATGTGTTTGGGTCAAAATATCTCTCTCTACCAAGTGCACATCTGGGCAAAGATACCTGAAACACCAAACTCTTCAACTGAGAAGGCAAAACCTTTTGGTTTTGTCACCACTTAACTCTTTCCATAATGCCAACAGCCAACAAAATCACAAGTGCAAACACCTAAAAATCCAGGCCTAAATATATTTTTATCACCAACATAACGCAGGAATAATGAACCAGACCTGCTGGGCTCTTAATTAAAAGCTAAGCAGCTACTTGATAAAGTCCAGAACCTTTCAAGTTGTTTTAAAGCCACCAAAATTTTAGGCCAAGGCTCAGTGCAAAAGCAAGAGCTCTGTACCAGCGGCAGCTTTTATCAGCTTTGTTCCTGCTCAAAAACTGGATTTATTTAGAGCACTTGCTCAGACCAGGATGCAATTGTTCCAAACCCCAATATTTCCACCTAATCCTGTTGCAGAACAGAAACATCTCTCCACAGAGAGAAGTCCAGCTCTGAGCACTATTGTCAATATTCGTTTTTCCAACTTCTAAGCAAAGTTCTTACCCCAAAAATCTTTCCCACGGCACCAATCTTTCCCCACCAAGCAGCAAGGCCCTGTCCACAGCAGAGCCCCTACCCACCATGAACCCTGCAGGGCATTCCAAGCTAAACATCTGCCTGACGAAGCTCCAGCACATTTGTTCCAAAGGCCACCAAAACGGCACACCGGGTTTTGCCTCATTAGCCGTAAATGCACGCTAATTACTTATTCCAGAATAAATATTCTATACAATCCACCGCGATGAGACCCGGTGCGCTCTCGTTTGTGACACATCCTCGTGCAGTTCACCGGTAAAAAAAAAAAAGATGAATGGTGGGATTTGGTTGGTTTTTAGCTTTTTTTAATTTGGAAGGAGCGATTGCCATCTCTTGTCATGGAGAGCCTTGCTGCATCCTAAGGTACAGCTCTGACTTAGCGGAGGGCTGGAAATCAGGGCAGAGGACACAGGCTTCGACTGAAGCAACCCGAGGGAAGCCACAGGCCTGCCATGATTATAATCGCAATTCAAGACGAGTTACTAAATTTAAAAAAAAAATAAAAAAAAATAAAAATAAAAATAAAGCGCTGCGGACACAAATCACGGCGGGTCGGGCGCCTTTGGTGCGTGAGCCCAAAAGCCAACAGAGCCGGAGATAAGCGGCTGCTCCGGAGCGGGCAGGGGCTCCAGGGCCGGGGGGAAGGGGGGGCATTGCCCTTCGGCGGCTCGGGGGGGGGGCCGCGGGCCGGCCGGCAAGGAGCGCTGGCGTTAATCCTGGAGCTCCCGTTAATCTGCCGGGCCCGGACAAAAGGCGGCCGAGGCGGCGGCGGCGGCGGGGGAGGGCGCGGCGGCCCGGGCGAGCCCCGGCGGCGGAGCGGCCCGGGGCAGCGCGTTAGGTAACGCCGCGCGGGTCTGATGCAATCGCGGGACGTGCGGGAGCAGGAGCGGGAGGAGGATACAGGTCAGGTCCAGGTCGAAGCCATCCTCCTGGTATCGCCTTTTGTTCCTGCTGACGATCTCTTTGATGATGGCGGTCATGTCTGGCAGCCGGGGGCCGCTCCGGGGCAGCGCGCAGGGCCCGGGCGGCGGCCGCGAGGCACCACCGGGCGGCCCCGGGCGCTGATGCTCCGGCGGCTCAGCCCCGGGCGGGCCCGGCTCCCGGCGGCGGCACCGGCTGCTGCTCCCTCCTCCTCCTCCTTCTCCTCCTCCTCCTCCGAGCGCGTCGGGAGCCGCGCCGAGCCCCTGCGGGCGGTGCCGCCGCCGCCGCCGTGTTTGGGGCGAGCGCGGCGGCGGCGGGGGGAGCAGCTCTGCGGCGCTCCGGGCCCCGGCAATGGTGACAGCGACGCGGGGCGCGCCCCCGGCCCGGCCCCGCTCCGCTTCCCGCCCCGGGGGCCGGGCGGTCGCTCCCTCGGCTCTTCCCGGCGGCGGCTCCTCAGGGCGGCACGGCCGCGCTCATCCCCCGGCCCGCAGCGCTCGCCGGCGCGGGGCGCCCATCATGGCCGCGGCTTCCGAGAGGGACGGCGGGCGGCGCCGCCACGCCCACGCGACGCATCCGCCAACACACAAAGTAGTCCCTCCCACCCCGCCACCGGAGAAGCGGAGAAGCGGCGGACCGGGGGGACCGGGAACCGGATCTCACTGCGCTCGCCTCCCGTACCTCTCCTCCCGTCGGGCCCCCCTCGCCCCCCGGAGGGGGCGGGGGAGGGGGGGGGTGGGCGGCGAGCGGAGGGATACGGGCGGTAAAGTGAGACGGCAGCGGTGGTGCTGCGTTAGGTCACGTGGGCGCTCGCGGCGGCGCCTCCCCCGCGGGCGGAAGTGGCCGTGAGGGGCCGTGAGGGGCCCGCGCGGTCCTGGGGCCCCCCGAGCCCCTCAGAGCCCCTCAAAGCCCCCGGGACTCCCGCTCGCCCGCCTCTCCTCCTTCCTCAGCCGAGCTGGGCGGGAAGAAGCAAGGGACAGAACGAGCTCGGTGCGGCCCCGCGGGGAAAAGGAAGGGGGGGGGCGGTCAGCCCGGCGTCTTGAGGGAGCTCGCCTTCCTCCCCTCACGCCCCCCGGGGCTGGCGTGGAGCGGAGAAGCCGCGGTGAGCGAGCGCCTGTCGCCCCCTGCAGCCACCGGGAAGGGGGCTTTGGGCCACCTGCTGCCCTCGGAATCGCAGAATCGTTAGGGTTGGGAAAGCTCTCCAGGATCATCGACTCCAAGCTGTTCCCGATGCCTGCCTTGTCCCCAGCCCAGCGCACTGAGTGCCACGTCCTACCCTTCCTTGGACACCTCCAGGCATGGAGACTCCCTGGGCAGCCCCTGCCAAGGCCTGAGCACCCATTCCATGAAGAAATTCCTTCTGATGTCCTCGGGGTAGCCAAGCTCGGGGACGGGGACGTGACAGTCCCCCCAGGTCAGGCCGTCTGGCCCAGCAGCCCGTGGTATTTCCATGGAGCTTTCTGTCCCACTCCGTTCTGCTTCCCACACTGATCATAATTACCCTGGCAGGGAGAAAGTCCCGTTTGTAAATCTCTAAGTCACTCTTTGTAACTCTTTAAAACATTAGGAGATAAAGCCCATCGTACAAGGCTCTTCTTACTCTAGTAACTTTCTGGGAATTAGCAGCGTTCATGTTTTGCAGGAAAACGACCTTTAAGGGCTCCAAATAAAGTGGAACATCAGGTGGAGGGATTTCCCAGGCTGCTGCAGCCTCCAGCCTTTGCAAATGCTCTATTATATAATTCCTTTCAGAAACGTATCAAGTTGCATCTTGAGATGTTTTGCCACCACTATTCCCACTGCGAAGCCGTTCCCAGAACCTTCTCCTGGTTTTCAGGCTAAATATATTCGGGACTGGTCTGCATCCATTTATCCTTGTGCCAACACTGGCCTCAAAGAGAACTTTGTGCTCTCCCAGGCACAGGGGTCCCTCTTGGCCCCCTTGATTTCCTCACTCCCCCTTTCCTCCAGCTGCAAACCCCAAACTGATAAAACTGTGGCTGCCCCTGGATCCTGGGAAGTGTCCAAGGCCAGGTGGGAGCAACCTGGGATATTGAGGAAGGTGTCCCTGCCCATGGCATGGGGAGGAATGAGCTGGATTGAGGTTCCCAGCCATCCCAACTCATTCTATGTTCGATTTTTAATTCATGTTTCCACCTCCTGGATCTGTCTTTATGTGGGACGTGCTCCCCATGATCCAAGGCATGCCAAGGGCTTGGGGACAGAGCTGCCACAAAACCACCTTTTCCCTCCAGTATAACCCCATTTATTCTCCATCCACTGGAGTTGTGAATGGAAAGCCCACCTGAACATTGGGAAGGAATCCCAAATTCAGTCACAATCCTGATCACAATCCCTCAATATTTGGATAAACAGGAGCCCATTCCAATCCACACCCTCTGCATCGCCACGACCCTGGCTGGCTTCTGAAACACTGCACTTCCCCACATCTTTAAAAAGTATTTTTCCATGGGAGTTTTTTCAGAGGTTGCCACCACAGCAGTGATAAAACGTAGGTTTTGAGCTGCTTTTCCTCGTGTGTGTGTGTGTTTGCATTTCTCCTTAATTGCAGCAAAACAGATGTCCCTTTATTTTCAGGAGTGGGAAGAAAACCAGAAGGGTCCCAAGTATTTTCCTCCAGGAATGAACGAACACAATGGTGAACATGAACTGAAAAACAAAAACCTCTAAAAGATTATAATCTTTTTTTACCATCAAAGCCTGCAGGAGCAGCATGAAAGGGAGGACTTGCCTGATCAAATCAAAATAATTTCTTCCGTGAAGAAATTCCTGCTGATGTCCCACCTGAACCTCCCCTGGCACAGCCTGAGGCCATTTCCTCTTGTCCTGTTGCTGGAAAATCTTGGCTCGAGAGCACAAGGGCTGAAGAGAAATTGCCAAAACTTTGAGTTAATTATGGCTGTTAGACAATAAATGTTGTCATTTTCACCTTTCTTCTGGACATTCTTCTCTCACTGTGTACATGTTGTAAATACGTTAGATATGTTTTATATCTGCTATGTACACATATGTATGTATAAATTATATCTCTATATAAAATATGTGTATATATGCATGTTTTATATATTATATGTATTATATTTATGCATACATTATATATTTATTTTCGTATTTCTCTTAACGCGTTGCATATGTTACGTTCTCTGAATTTTACGCGTTAGTGGCGATAGAGCGGCATTCCCGTTGTCATTACACGCTGTAAGCGGGAGCCGCGGCCCCGGGGGTGCCGGTGAAGCCGCGCTGGACGCTCCGTTCCGCTAACGCTGATCCCGGCTCATCCCGGCCCGTCCCGGCCGATCCCGGCCCTTCCCAGCCTGGAGCTGCCCCGCATCCGGTGGGCGGAACCTTCGCGCGGGGCGCCGCCGGCCGGAACCTTTGGGCGGGGCAGCGAGCGCCGCACGGACGGAGGAAGTGCCGGACGCGCCGCTGCCGGGCCCTCGGTGCTGCCGCCGGCTTTTGCTCCGCTTCTTCCTCCTGCTCTTCCTCCTCCTCTCCTTCCTCCTCCTGCTGCTCGTCCCGCCCCTTGCCCCGGAGTTCCGGAGAGCCGCCGCACGGTGAGTCTGTCTGTGTGTCCCGGCGGGACAGAGGCAGAGCGGCCCCGCCGCGCCGCACCTGCCGGGCGGCGGGAAGGTCACGGGCGGCGCGGCCCGGCCCTGCCCGGGACAGCCGTGACGGGGCTGCCCGCCACCGGGGGCAATCCCCGCGCTGGGGCGGGCCCTGCGGGGCTCCCCGGGCCCGGGGCAGGCCACGGTTTCCCGGCAGTGCCTCGATTTGCCCTCGGAGCGGAACAGAAGCCAGCGCCGCTGCCGCTTTTGGTTTCCCTTTTGCGCCTGTACGGAGAGAGCGGAGCCGCAGCGGGCCCGGAGTGAAGAGTCCTCGCCTCAGGGAAAAGAAACGCTGAGTTCCTACAGGTTTTAGCGTTTGTGAGTTATTAGGACTTTGCTCAGCGAGATTATGCTTCAGTTTCTCTCGTGTTCAAGCTTTTCCTTTCGGTTTGCCCTCGGCATAGGTTGCATAAGAAGGAGATTTCTGCACGGGATTCTTGGGGAGGTTTTTTCCTTGTTCGGTGACTACAGAGCCCCTTTATTTTAATAAGTCAGGTTGACGAGGACATGCAGAAATCCTCCAGCTCCGGAGGACTTCCTTAGATCCTTTAGATCCTTTAGCAGGCATCCATGGATAATTTGGCTCCAGAGTTGCCTGGGGAGGGGGATCCAGGGATGATTTGGCTGTGGGTGCTTCAGGGTTGCCCTGGGGAAGGGGATCCAGGGATGATTCGGCTATGGGTGCTCCAGCGTTGCCCTGGCTGCCAGCTTGGTTTGGAGAATGGCCAGGGAGCGTCAGGAGCTGCCAAAGGAATTGCTGCTGGTTTTGCCCTTGCATCAGGAAAATGGGGCAGTGTCCACGGACTGATTTGGGGATTCTCAAGCAGATCACCCCCACCAGCTGGGGAGGAAGTGGACCCTCATTTTACAAGTCATTTTTCCAATGTTTTAGCAAAGTTCTTTCCCTCTGTGCCTTTTGTTCCCGAGATTGAGGGTGCTGTGCTCTCTGGGCTTGGCTCCTGCAGCAGTCAGGCTTTTCCCTGGATAGCTGTGTGCCACATCCAGCATTTTCAGGTTCCCAGGGATATTAATAACTCCCCATACATCCTGCCAGGTGCAGGCTCCAGCTCTTAACCTCATTTTAATCAAATGCAAGTCGTTGATTGCTCCTTAATGTGGCAGCCGGGTGCCTTTCCTGTAAACTTCCTCTTAGGGAAAAGACCTCTCTGGTTAAATAATGGATTTCCCTGGCTCCAGGATTCAGCATTCAGGGTCAATAGCAGTCCCAAAATGTTCCCTCAATGGGAATGTCAACTTTGTAAGCACAGAATCCCGGGATGGTTTGGATTGGAAGGCAACTTAGATTTCTCCCCCGCTGCCAGGGCTGGGACACCTTCCACTGTCTCAGCTTGCTCCAGCCTGTCCTTGGACACTTCCAGGGATCCAGGGGCAGCCACAGCTGCTCTGGGCACCCTGTGCCAGGCCCTCCCCACCCTCCCAGGGAACAATTCCTTCCCAATATCCCATCCATCCCTGCCCTCTGGCATT